CATGGCGCTACAAACAACTAAGTTATTTTTGTAATTCAAGGTTTCCAAGTTCTAGCTGAAATCTAAAGAATAAGACTTTTGCTGTCTAGGCAAGGCTCTTTTGCCAAAATTTCTTCTCTTCTCCTATTCCTTTACTTCAGTGTTAGTACCCTGTACTCTATCCATCATTCACCTCATCTAGTCTCAGGGTGTAAATCAAGGTATGAAAAATTCCTTAATAACAGAATTTAGCTGTCCTAAAGGAAAGGAGAATATTTCTCTCTTGAAAGACAGAGGAGAGATGATGGAATTTCAGCTCTTGTCTGGAAGTTTGAAAAAAGGAAAAACAAAATACATTCTCGTGAAAATGGTTTCATATGATCCTTTATTTTCCTGGAAAATTTATTGGCTGAAATGGTAAAAAAAAAATGAGTAGATTTCAGAGGAGGTGAAAAACTGTAATCAGATATGGTTTGAGCTTTCATATTGTATTTGTATCTTTTGGATAGGACTACGGTATATAAGTACATATGAGGGTCTTCAAAAGGTTCATGGAAAATGAAAGTAAAGTTTTTTGGTGCAAAAAATATTTAAGATGCATGCATAGTATTTTATTCATATACTTTTTGAAGCCTGTTTATAGACATGGATTTCAATTTTTTTCTACCAAAATAAGCTTCTTTTAATCCCATTTTCCATGAACTTTTTGAAATACTTTTTTTTTTTTTTTTTGACAGGCAGAGTGGACAATGAGAGAGAGAGACAGAGAGAAAGGTCTTCCTTTTGCCGTTGGTTCACCCTCCAATGGCCGCTGCGGCCGGCACGCTGCGGCTGGCGCACCGCGCTGATCCGATGGCAGGAGCCAGGTGCTTCTCCTGGTCTCCCATGGGGTGCAGGGCCCAAGCACCTGGGCCATCCTCCACTGCACTCCCTGGCCACAGCAGAGAGCTGGCCTGGAAGAGGGGCAACTGGGACAGAATCTGGCGCCCCGACCGGGACTAGAACCCAGTGTGCCGGCACCGCAAGGCGGAGGATTAGCCTAGTGAGCCGCGGTGCTGGCCTGAAATACTCTTGAATTCAAAAGTTATTACAAGTCATATGTTCATCCATAATCATGCTGAACAGATTCAAGTATTGTCTCAAAAGCAAGTGTAGCTGGGTTTTCACTAAATAAAACAGCACACACACACACACAGACACACACAAGCACGCACATGGAATATTGAGATCGGCTACTCAGATGAAAATTAAAGCTTCCATTTTGGGTTGACCATCTCCTTAAACCTTTGTAAAATGTTGATTTTTATTTTTTGGGCATAAGCAAAAGACTTACAAAGCCTGATTCTATAGTTTTGTTTTTTAATGTATATTGTCTGTCTTAAAAATCAAAGAATCAAAACTGTGACATCTCTTATGAGAAAGGCAGCATGCTATCTATATTTTATATCATGTATCTTTGTCATATTTTCATCACATGCAGTGATAATTTATGCCTAATAAGACAATCTTAGCACGAGAACTTGCCTTTCTTTCTAGTTCAATGGAAAGGTGTTGGTTAAAATCTGATGGATTTCAGACAGACAGGGTCTTTGTAAATGCACATGAGCCCACTACAGCAATGAGCTGACCTAGTTTCTTGTCCTCATTCTGATATCATTTCGATGAGCAATCTCCAAAAAGTTCATGAAAAATGAATATTATGAAAAAACTGTGGATTTCAAAAATTTTTCACCAACATTCATGAACTTTGTGAAATTCCATTGTATGTGTTTGTGGGTGAGTTGGACAAAGCTAATATTTTTTCTCCTGTAGGATTATGAGGAGTAAGGGGGAGGAGCTTTGAATATAAGAAAAGCGTGATAAATAGATGTGCCTAAAAAGCAAATAAAGTAAACATTGCCTAAGATTTTGTAGCTAGAGCAACTGAAGAGAGCTTGAGAGAAAGATGAGTGATTAAAGCACATCCAAATGAATAGCAAGTGATACCAATAACTGTGACTAAAAGAAAAAGCAAGCCTGTTCATATCTCCACATTGTACTCTGTGTGAATGCTACCCTTGGAGGTGTGAAATACTCAGGGGCGCTTTCTTGTGGAAGATGCCATCTGCACCCTCTAAATAAAGAATTCTTGGGTTTCTTGCTTGGAGTAGGGTCACTGGCTCACCTGCTCTTATAAGCACATATATCAAATTCTTTGAGGTGTTAGACACTGTAAGGAAGCAGTAAATTTAGGCTAATGAGAAAAATGATAGATTGAATAATTATTTTTAAAATTGCAGCATTTTTTAGTTTAGTCCAGATAGAAACTACTTGAGATTTTGCTGTCATTTTCAGCACACTAATTCCAGCTCCATGATTTTGTATCTAAAACTTTTGGGCTATCATATCTGTCCTAATCAAGAATCTACTTCTCCCCAGCTGGAGGTCCTGAGTGGAAATTTGAGTCAAAGATGGAAATTCAAAATTGAGCTTTCTAAAATGTAGGTTATTAGGCCATTGTTGTGGGCATAACGGGTTAAGCTACTGCCTGGCTACTCTGCTTCTTGTCCAGCTCTCTGCTAATACACTTGGGAAAGTAGTGGAAGATGGCCCAAGTACTTGGCCCCCTGCCAGCCTGGCTCAAACATGGCTGTTGTGGCCATTCAGGGAGTGAACCAACAGATGAAAGGTCTCTTTCTCTCTCTTGTCTCTGTGTCTTTCTCTCTCTCTTCCCTCTTTCTCTCTGTCTCCCTCCCCCACCTCTCTTTCCCTCTATTTCTTTTCTTTTTAATTAACTAAATAATTTTAAAATGTAGGTTCATTAGGACATGATGATTTGAAAATTCATAACAGATTCTATGTATTGAACCAGAACCATTTTCTCTTCCATACATCTATCCTATTAGAAATATTTTTTTCTATAATAATCCACTGAAAACAATCATGATGGTTCATGATTCATACTTTGTCTATCTTTGCCAAGAAAATGTCTCCACAGCCATTCTTTTATCAAAGACAAACAACAGGTAGGGACTGTGGCGATATGACATGCTGTTAATTCTACCAGAACTTGTAAATGACAATGTTCTTGTTTGAAAAATGAGAGGAAAATATCCAATGTCTTATCCCTTGTTTAGAAATGAAATTAACCAACACGTGAGCCTCCGAGTGACCACAGCTTATTAAGGCAGAAAGAAATTACCTATATTGTCTCACCCAGGAGTAAACCATTAAAAACTTCTTACCAAGTTATTAATAATCAAAGGTATTGGGAAAGTCCAATGCATGTATCTTGTTAATCCTCCAAAAGTACCATCAAATGCAAGGTCTTTGAGAACAAATACTATCCCTTCCCCACACAGATAAACTTTAATATAACTTAGAATGCTGCCAAGTCCACTGTGGATGTTGGATTAGCATCAAGATATTAGGAACCAAAACAGTTTTATTAATAGAATGACAGATGTTCATTCACTAAATAAAAAACAGGGAAAGTCTATCATAAACCCATTGTCAACTATATAAACAATTTGCTATAATTATATCCAATTTAAATATTAGAGCAATTATACATATATAATATATAAAATATAAAATGTTGCAACTTCCTTTTGCTAAGTCATTTTACTACACAATTAAAAACAAGATATATTTATCCATATTTTATTGATTTTTCAAAATCATTTTTTATTTACAATTCAGATTGGTGAACTGTGCGGGGTTTGTGTAAACGAGCATGTTTATGCATGGCATAAAAAGGTGTGATTTGTTTGGGGCCGTCCATCCAGGACAGCAGTCTGCATCCTGCTTTGCCTCTAGTCCACTGTTCCACGCTGGGTGTGAGACAGTAACCCCAGCCTTCGTCCCATCATGCTAACTCATGCAAAGGAAGAAATGCCCACTCCCGGCATACCCATATAACCACACTCAGGATACTCCTTTGCCACAAGCATCTGAAAATGTGTCCACTGGTTTTCTCATTGCCATAAGTCTAAAGTCCTTGAATATTTGACATGTTTAATATTTTATTTGGTAGATAAGATAATCCTGTAGTTCTTGACCAGAGGTGACTTGTATCCTTCAGAAGACATTCGATAATGTCTGAGGACATGTGTGGTTGTCATGACAAGGAGCAGGGGTACAGTTAGCACCTGGTAGAATCCACAGATACGAGTGAACATCCCAGGATACACAGGAGACAACCTGCTGCAAAGAATTTTCTGGCTTGAAATGTAAATACTGTGAAGCTTGAACCAATCCATGTCTACCTGAGCTGCACTTTTACAGAAATGACTATTGCAAAAAGATACTCATGGTGACCTTGTCTGTGTGAAGGATTGGAAGTACTATGAGATAAGAACACACTGTAGCACTTCAGCTAGGGACTTGTTAAATGGTCTTAAGGCATTTCACACACAAGCAATGCTTTCCACTTGTCTCTCCCAGAGTAAAATAGAGTTGGAAGAAATGATGTCTTTATTCTTCTAAAGGTCAGAAGGACCTTGATTATCTCTTTGAAAAGAAAATTTATACTCATGGACAAGGCTATTCAAACTGTTTGTGGAAAATGGAATAAAAAGATAATTTTATGTTGCTGTAAAAAAATTTAAATCCAGGAACAGTTTTTTTTTTTTCATAATGCAAAGGTTTCATGAACCTTTTGAAGATCCTGCATATGCCTTGCAGCAGCTAGTCATTTAGTGGTTCCTAAAGCTAATAGAAGAGTAAAAAATGATACCTCTTATGTATTATTCTTTCACATTTAAGCATTCTTCTGGAAACAAAAGAATTGGGTCTCAGTTGATAGCTATGTCATTGTAAGACTTCTGCCAATACCAGGATACTTGTAACCACACTCAAATGCCTTAACTTGAGCTTATATTCCAAAATTGTGGTCAGAATAGGTATTAAGCATTTTGTAACTGTTTGGGGAATTTTAAAGGTTATTAAGTTCTGAATAACACACTCATGTTTTCCCACCAAGCTTTTCCCAGCAGTTGAATATATCTGGATCTTATTCTGGTTTTTTATTCTTTTTTTAGCTTCCTGAAATGACTCATGTTCAAACACGACGACCCTGGATGATGTTTCTCTTCCAGAACTTGGGATTGATCTTAGGTTGGCTTTCTCTCTTCCTCTTGGCTATATATGAACAAAATATTAAAATATAAGTGAGGATTCTCAAAATCCTGACAAAATGAATTTTTACAGTATCATTACTTTACTTTGGTTGTATTCTACTGATTTGTAAGTTTTTTTTATCTTAGTTATAGTATGTATCTTTTAGCTCATTAACTTATTAATTTAATAATGCAATTTTGGTTTTAGAAATATATCAAAGTCAGGCTATTCATAATTGAGATTTTGTGTTTTCAGCAACTTTATGGAATGTATGCTTTTTTTAGTAATTAGTAAATTCTGAATTAATTCTAATGACTTAAAAATATTGTTTTTGTAAGACAGATTGTTTGTTGTGTTTGAAATGAACAGATGCTGGTGGAGATAAAATCAGCTGCAACTTCTTTGATGTCAGTAATATACTTTTTTCTGTGAGATTATAAAGCATAAGCAAAGTAAATTACTAACAAATGCAATAAAGTTTAGTTGAATGTGGTGGTTCGTGTTCCCTTCTGTTCTGGAATGTCAGATTTTAATCCATCTCTTACAAAACCAGTGCAGTGTAGTTAACCTGCAGGCATTGCCCACTGGTTCAAGTGTGCTCATGAATAAGCAATGCTAGGAAGTCTAAAGATTACACATCAGCATTCTTGGTATCAGTCATCACACACAAAAACTTCTGGTCCAGGCCAGGAGAACTGGAACCAAAACACGAAGTTCAAAATTTTTTTAAATTGAGTCAAGCAGAAGATTAATGACTAAATGCTCACAGGTTATGTGACAGAGATTATTTGCCTAATAAATGAATATAATATTACTGAATAGTGAAATACATTTTGTGGTTTTTTTTTCCCTGAGGAAACACAGAACCGTAAACAGGATTCAGAAGATAAACTTGTGAAATGAACAAGCAACATGAGTGATAACCTAGCTAAATCGTTCAGTTAGAAAATAACCTTGAGTTTAGTGATTTTCTTCTAGAAAATGGATGCCTATTCATTTTCTTGAACAGTTTTTACGATGTATCTTGACATGGGGAAAAGTTCGTTTTACTGCTAACTCCTTTCACAATGCTCAGCCAGACAGACACATTTGTCTTGTCTCTTACTCACCAATAGGTTGATTCTCTTTGCATGATCATTTTCAACCACGTTTCTCTGATTTCAAAATGAGACGGATTTCTTCTCCAGGTATCTTTAGAGCTTGATTTAAGAGTGCACCCATGTGTAGTGAAATAGTATTCACATAATGCATAACAGGATCAACTGGAAGGCTTGTCTCTGGCAAACACGTGTTGTCAGGATCCAACTCTGGAGTTTCTGATTCTGTGGCTCTAGGTAAAGCTTGGGGCTATGATTTTAAACAACTTCCAGGTGATGCGGATGCTGCTTCACTGCTCAGAGCATCACTGGTGTCCTAGAAGTCACGTGGACTTGACTTCAAGAAAGAGTGGGTTCACAACTCTGTTCTCTTAGAGCTCTGTGCTTGGGAGTGAGTTGGTCACACTCCTTCAAGCCTCGCGCTAGATGTGAGTTCCAAAGCTGAAGCTCCCATCTCTTTGTCCCCTTGCCTTGTAGCATCGAATCAGTTCCAGAAGTTACTGTATAAGGAGTCCCTAGATGGGTAGTACTTTTGATTCATATTTGCCCTGTAAGGTGAGTAGATTCAACACAGCATTTTGTCCTTCTTTTGTTAGAGAAAAAAATTGTGGACAAACAAAAACTCCTTTGTTCAAAGTAGCACAATGGTGTAGAAGTCTCATTCAAGAAGTCCCTGGCACTGGCTGTGTTGGGGTTTCTACAACTAGGTCCTGATTTTGATATTAGGCCTTAATTTATGCCAGCTTAATTAGGAAAGCTCTGACAGATGACTTTGCTCCAAGATCACATTTAGAGAGGTTTCGAGCTGGCTAAATTAAAATTTTGCTGTGAGCTGCTCCATCTATAACCTTCCATTTAGAGGCTAATTCAGTCCTCTGGAAAGGTTGGGAATAGGATATAGAGGGGCTTTAAGGGAGCTGGCTGTTGGAAGGATTTAGAGGAACATTCCCCAGCGATTCTTGCGCAAGCCTGTCACTAATGTGCCCTGACCTACCATCCAGAGGTCACTTGCAGGAGGCACCCGGAGGGTAGTGTGATCAAGTGGCTCCTGGGAGCACCTTTCTAAGATCATCATTTCAATACTCTGGTTTCTCTTCAGATTGTATAAATCTTTCACCTTTCACTAAGATCATAATTTCTCCTCTTCTCTATCTTATCATTGACTTTTTGCTAATTCGTATTGAGTTCCAGACAGTCAACCAATAGCCTGAGAGGAACCTCCAGCCACAAGCATTCTTAGAATTGCTAGAAAAATCTATATTCCTCAGAATTGAGCGGTAGTAATAAGGAGATGATGACAACTATTTGTCTTCTAAATATGGGCTGAGTCTAAATTTGGAATGGCTGAACATGGTCATCCCTTTAACTGTCTTAGTTTTGTTTCTCACCGATCTTTGTGGGTGAATGGCATTTTCCTTGAAACCAGATTTCTTAATGGTAAAAGTATTTCTGTCTCCTTGGCCTAAATTTAGGATTACACTGTTTTCTACCTACTTGGCAACTTGTTTTTTCATCATTGAACAAGAAATATTAATGAGGAAAAATCCAAGAGCAAATTGTAACAGAAATCTGATGTGAATATTCATAATGCACTGACAGTCATTTTGAGGGAACAGGGATTTGAAGATTGTGGCTGTGATGCTGTGTACAGGACCTGGGAAGATGGCGCCATTGCTGCACGCTCCACAGCAGCGGAGTCCAGTATGGCTGGGCCCATGAACTGTGGCCAGCACCAGCCCTTCCATCCGTCTTCCTACAACCTGTGTTTGAAGGGGAGACTTTGCCTCCACTTATGAAATACACCTTGCAGGTATTGCGTGTTTACAACTTCCTTTCCTCTCCCACCAGACTAATCAGGTTTAGGCTCTTTTGTGGGCATTAAAATTTAGGCATGAAGGAGGTTTGATTGGTACAGAGGTACAGTTGCATTAGGAGGGTTAAATTTTGATGTTAAACAGCTTAGTAGAATAATTCTGGTTGACAACTAGCTGTGCATTTCAAAGTAGCTGGTAGAAAAGATTTTGAATGTTCCCAGTATGTGGAAGTGATACATGTTTCAGGTGATAGATACGCCAATTACTCTAATTCAATCATTACACATTGTAGGTGCCAAAATGTCACCCTGTACCCCATAAATATGTGTAATTATTGTGTGTCAATTAAAAATTAGAATTCAGGCTCTAAAATGGAATGTTGGCTTCAATCACAGTTATGCTACTTAATAGCTTGTAATTCTTTGAACAATAATTTCTTGCGTAAAACCATGCTAAAAATAGATCCCACCTCATAGGTTTGCGATGAGGTCAAGATGGAATACTGTTCAAGAAGCTGTTAGCTCAGTGCCTGGAAAATGCTAATAGCTCAATAAATGTTTAGTCATCACTGTATCACCACTGGTATCCCTTTCTTTCATCACAGCTTTGTGGTTTGATGCTCAGTGCTGTACCTTTCATGAATAAAATGTCTTTTCTTGGTGGAGAAGGAGGATCAAACCTTTTATGTGTCTGCAATCCCATGTGGAGCCCGCACACCAGGCCTCACCAGCCCTCAGAGCTGTCCTGCATGTTCTCTCACCCTGACTCACTTTCAGAGTGGGAGAGGTGGCCTCTCTGGTTTGTTCCTTTCGGCCCATCCTTCCTGGAACAGGCTCTGTCCACAAGTCGTAATGCTTACTCAGTGCGAGTCCCTCTCTCTTATTCTTTCTCTCTCACAAGTGAAAACCTATTATGTTCCACTCCAGTTACACTTCTAAGGTTGATAATAGAATCTGATCCAGAGGAACCTGTCTGAGGTCATGGTCATTGTCATGGCTTGATTTTTTTTTTTTTTTTTTGACAGGCAGAGTGGACAGTGAGAGAGAGAGACAGAGAGAGAAAGGTCTTCCTTTTGCCGTTGGTTCACCCTCCAATGGCCGCCGCTGCAGCCGGCGCACCGCGCTGATCCGATGGCAGGAGCCAGGATCCAGGTGCTTTTCCTGGTCTCCCATGGGGTGCAGGGCCCAAGCACCTGGGCCATCCTCCACTGCACTCCCTGGCCATAGCAGAGAGCTGGCCTGGAAGAGGGGCAACCGGGACAGAATCCGGCGCCCCAACCGGGACTAGAACCCGGTGTGCCGGCGCCGCAAGGTGGAGGATTAGCCTATTGAGCCACGGCGCCGGCCATGGCTTGATTTTAACTCAAGGGAGAACAAAAGGTGATCTGAACAATTCCCCCGGGAAGCAATGCACCTGCTGAGGAGATGAAAGGTGCTCAGAAAGAGTCTTCCCCATCAAGGTCAAGAAGGTGTCGACTTGCTGGAGACCTAGCCTGCTTCAGCAGGACCAGTGCCCTCTGACTGGGGCACACACAGCCTGCTCGCCCAGGGAAGACATTATCAACAGCCCAAGAGAGGAATGAAATTCTGACACATGCTGTGACATGGAGGAACCCTGAAGACATTGTGCTTTGTGCAAAAAAAAAAAAAAAAAAAAAAACAAAGGACAAGTGGTGCATGATTTCATCTCTATGAGGTATCAAGAGTAGTCAATTGCTGGACATAAAAAATAGACGGACAATTGTCAGGGACGGCAGGAAGAAGGAACGGGGAGTCCGTGTTTAATGGGCGCAGTGTATCCATTTGAGAAGATGAGAAGCTCTTGGCCCAGATGGGGGTGATGCTTGCACAGCAATGGAAATGTACTTAACACCACTGAACTGTGAATTTTAAAATGGCTCAAATGGTAAATGTTACTTCAAAAACTAAAAACAAATGTGGGCCGGTGCCGCGGCTCACTAGGCTAATCCTCTGCCTAGCGGCGCTGGCACACTGGGTTCTAGTCCCGGTCAGGGTGCCGGATTCTGTCCTGGTTGCCCCTCTTCCAGGCCAGCTCTCTGCTGTGGCCAGGGAGTGCAGTGGAGGAGGGCCCAAGTACTTGGGCCCTGCACCCGCATGGGAGACCAGGAGAAGCACCTGGCTCCTGGCTTCGGATTAGCGCGGTGCGCCGGCCGCAGCGCGGCCATTGGAGGGTGAACCAACAGCAAAGGAAGACCTTTCTCTCTATCTCTCTCTCTCACTGTCCACTCTGCCTGTCAAAAAAAAAAAAAAAAAAAAAGTGTTCTTTGCAAACACCCACCAAAACTGGAGTAGCTATATTACATTCAGATGAAGTAAATATGAGAGTAAGGAAAATGATCAAGGATGAAGAGGGACATTACATAATGATTCAGGAATCATTTATCCAAGACATAACAATTCTTTTCTTAAAATAAAGATATATTTATTTACTTGAAATTCAGAATTACACAGAGAGAGGAAAGAGACACAGAGAGAGCTTCTATCTGCTGGTTCACTCCCCAGATGGCCGCACCAGCTAGGGCTGAACCGAGCCAGAGCCAGGCCAGAATCAGGAGCCAGGAGATTCATCCAGGCCTCCCATGTGGTTGGCAGGGGTCCAGACACTTGGGCCATCCTCCACTGCCTTTCCCCGACATATTAGCACAGAGCTGGATGAGAAGTGGAACAACCATATGGGATTGTGCTATTGCAGGTGGCAGCATAGCCCATTACATACAATGCTGGTCCGGGCATAATAATTCTTAGTGTGTTTGTGCCTACCAACAGAGTGACAAAATATGTAAGGCAAAATATAATAGAACTACAATGAGAGATAGATTAATCTATTATCACAGTTAAATATTTCAGCTGCCCTCTATCAATAGATGGAAGGAAGAAAATAAAATCCCAATTGACAGATCCAGCAGACCAGGAAAGACATAGCTGAATGGAAAAGCACCATCAATCAACTATTCGTAGACTAGTTCATCCAAAACCAGCAGAATATAGATTCTTCTCAAGCTTAGAACATTTACCAAGACAGACTGCATCTGAACCATAAGCATATTTTTATAAATTTAAACAAGTACTGTATAATTATTTCTAATAATAATGGAATTAAACTAGAAACAACAACAATAGAAAGATAATTGGAAACCTCCAAATAGCTGGAGATTAAGACATTTTCAAATAACACATTGGTCAAGGAAATAATCTCCGGAGAAGCTAAATGCATTTTGACTAGATGGAGATTAAAATGCACTTATTAAAATGTATGAGATGTTATGAAAAGAGAACTTAGAAATTGTCCCCTTAAATAAAATATTAGAAAAGAAGAAAGGTCTGAAATAATCTATGCTTCTACTTAGGAAACTAGGGAAAGAAAAGCAAAATAAACCCAAAAGAAGCAGACAAGAAGAGGTAATAAAAATCAGAGCAGAAATCAATGGAATTTGAAAATGGGGAACCAATAGGTAAAATCAAAGAAACCAAAAGCTGATTCTCAAAAATCTCAATGAATTGATAAACCTCTAGCCAGGCTAGCTAAGGAAAAGAAGGAATAGACAGGGGCCGGCATTGTAAGGTAGTGGATTAAGCCATGGACTGAGATGCTGGCATCCCAAATTGGCGCCAGTTCAAGTCCCAGCTGCTCTACTTTTGATCCAGCTCCCTACTAATGTGCCTGGGAAAGCAGCAGCAGATGGCCCAAGTACTTAGGACCCCTGCACCCATAAGGGAGACCTGTAAGAAGCTTCTGCTCCTGGTTTCAGCCTGGGCCATCTCTGGCCATTGCAGCCATTTGGAGAGTGAACCAGTGAATGGAAGCTCTCTTTCTCTCTATATATCTCTCACTGTAACTTTCTTTCAAATAAATAAATACACTTTTTTTTTTGAAAAGACAATGATAAAAATTACTAATATACTAAGATGACCATCACTACTGGTTCCATGGATATTAAGATGGTAATAAAAGATATTATGAACAGCTGTACTCACCAATTTGATGAGCTTAAAAGACA